GGCTGCACAGATTAAATATCACATCTAGGCTGCACAGATTAAATATCGCATCTGGGCTGCACAGATTAAATATCACATCTGGGCTGCTCAGATTAAAGCCTGCTGGTTTAGGTCCAACATGGCAGACAGTTGCTGCAAACATGACCCTTTTCTACCATCAGTAAAATTGTTTAAAATTTAGACTCCCGGAGCAAACCTCATCACGATCAAGCACTGGGTGCATGAAGGACAAATGTCTGAGTAAAAGTCTCTATTGTTAATTCAGAAAAGTAAAGACGAGTTAAAAACAAACGTAACTTTGTGTTGAGTGTCCTCACCTCGTCTCCTCCTCAGGTGAAGAATGTGTTGAACAACCGACAGAGTCCGAAGTCGAGCCGGCGCAGCAGTAAGAAGATCAAAGTGAGCAGCAGCAGCAGCTTGGAAGGTTTGTTCAGCTCAGATGTTTGCGTTCTTGACCACATGTCCTCATTTAACGTAACGCTGCTGCTGCTTCAGCCGACGAACACTCGGCGCTGGATGAGGACACGTTGTCCCGGCTGGTGGAGGTTCTGAGTGTCAGAGACGTTCCCTGGATGAAGCTGGCTGAGAAGCTGGGCATGATGACGCTAACTCACCTGTACCAGGACAGTCCAACGCCGTGCCAGCACCTGCTGCAGCACTACAAGGTAACATGTCCAGGTGTGATGCCTGAGAGGACGCACGGTCCAACCTCTGTCCTTCAGGGTTAAGGACACCTTACAGCAGTGACGGATAAATCCACTTTACTGAACAATTCACGTATGACTGAAGATGATTTTAAAATAATATACTAATGGTTTTAATGTTTACAGTCCAAATAAACAGCTTACTCATGACAGATGATTCACAGTGATGACTAAAAGAAAGTCCACCCTCTCAGCTCTGAAGGTTTAACTTGTCAGGATATAAAACTGATCAGGGGCCTCATGTACCAACGGTGCATGCACACAAAAATGTTTGCGTGCTGCAGGTTAAACACACCCGTCACAATGTCAAACGTGTCAAAGTGTATTTAAATATATGTATAATCTTTGGGAGGTCACACGAACCAAACAATGATATGGTCTTTCTCAGTCATGTCACATTTAAAAACGTTGACCAAAGTGCTTCACAAGGAGGTTAAGAACAAACAGGAAAAATAACAATAAAATAATCACTGCAGTTTGACACACACACACACACACACACACACACACACACACACACTCACACACACTCTCCTCTTTGTGTGGCAGACACGTTTTACGCCCCACTCTTACACCATCATCCATTTACCCGCTTCTTCCTATTAGGGTTGCGGGATTCACTGGTGCCCATATTCAGCAGTCACTGTGGGAGAGGTGGGGGACACCCTGAACTGGTCTTCTGTCCATCACAGGGACACCTGGAGACAAACGAGACAAAAAAAACTTTCACTCTCTCACTCACACCTAGGGACAATTTAGAGTTACCAATCAGTCTAACATGCACGAGCCTCCCTCTTTTTGGAAATAGGTGTTCACTACAACCATTTTCATTCTCTTGGCAAATTCCACCACCATCTGTCCTTCCTGGTTTCTTTCCTTGACACCAAACCTACCCATCACTTCCTCATCCCCTCTGTTTCCTTCACCAACATGTCCATTCAGGTCTGCTCTGATCACCTCTCTCTCCTCCCTGGGAATACTCTCTACCACTTCATCCAGATCTTTCCAAAATGTATCTTTCTCCTCCTCATCACATCCAACCTGTGGAGCATAACCACTGACAACATTTAGAATCAGACCTTCTACTTCTACCTTCAGGCATATCACCCTATCTGACACTCTCTTCACCTCTACTACATTCTTTGCCATCTCCTCCTTCAGGATCACCACTACTACATTTCTCTTTCTATCCACACCATGGTAAAACAGTTTAAACTCTGCTCCAATGCTGTGAGCCTTGCTGTCCTTCCACTTGATCTCTTGGACACATCAAACATCTACCTTCCTTCTCTGCATCATGTCAGCCAGCTCTCTACCTTTGCCTGTCATTGTCCCCACATTTAGAGTTGCCACCCTCAGTCGTACATTCTTCACTTTCCTCTTCTTCCTCTGTCTCCTGACACGTTTCCCTCTTCATGGTCTTCAACTAACAGTAGCACAATTTCCACCGGCACCATGTTTGTCAACAGCACTGGTGGCGGTCGTTGTTAACCTGGGCCTTGACCGATCTGCTGTTGCATAGATGAACTTGTATGTTTTGACAAAAGTGTTTTACGTCGGATGCCTTTCTTGACACAGCCCTCATCATTTACCTGGGCTTGGGACCAGAACCAGAGATGTGCTGGCTTGTGCTCCCTAGTGTCTGGTTTAGATCTACATCTATTTATGCAAAAAGGAAGTAAAAGGAAAGGTGTGCAGAAACGTGTGTGCAGGGTTTGATAAATCTGCATATTGCTGTGTGCACATACTTATCTAGTTTTGTCCCTACACCAACTTTCAGTATGGAAGCTGCACTCTTTGATACATGAGGCCCCTGGCTTTATCGAGTTTTAATAAAATTCAAACTGATTCTCAAGTGAACAAAAGTACACAGCAGATTCCACTGAGTCATTTTTATTAAACACAACTAAAGCCAAATGTACAAGCCCCCCATTATGTATACCCTCCTATAGGAACAGTTAACTTACAATGGTGGTTTTAGTGTTTTTTGTGGGACATATTTAGTATCTAATGTTTGCAAAGGAATTTTAACCAACTTTTCAATTAAATTAAATTTATACAGAATCAATTCACATTTCAACACCTTAACAGTAGGGGTTTCTACTGTTAAGGTGTTGAGGGGTGAATTGTCAATCTACATATGCATGTGTATCTTATCTCACTCAGCCTTATAACCTGAACCCCTCACTCACTGCTCTTTGAATTGAGAAAGCTCCTCAGATGAGGAGCGAAACGTCTTCTGTTACAAATAATGTCAGTTTTTGTATTGAATATTTTTTGGACCTATCCTGAGCAGCACACTGGTGACAGTGGAAAGAAAAAATATTAACAGGAGGAAACCTCCAGGAGAATCAGGCTCAGGATAGGTAGTGACTGTCATTGGTTAGAGAGGAAAGGAAAGCAATACAGACAATCACAGAATGGCTGGTCCAAGTGGAGTTTTTATGGTCCAGGTGTTGTTTCTATGGTTCACGTGCAGTTTCTATAGTCCAGGTGCAGTTTCTATAAGGAGAAAGACGATTTATTATTAAGGGTTTACCCTCTACGTCACATTTTAGGACTAGTTCAAGAGTATTACGAAGGGAACTTGTTGGGTTGTGAACACTTTGGGTAAAACCAATTGACTTTTACTAAATTACAAAAGGGGGGTTTCATTCATGTCTTTAATGAATGAAACTGGTAAAAACTAGATTTGTCTTGTTATGGTTAACCCCTGGAATGAAAAGTGGGTGGACTGCCTTTATATCAAACAGGAAGTTATCTCACTTGTCTTTCTTTGTGTATTTAGGTGGGTGGAGGTCCTGTTGAAGTTCTGGTTGAAGCACTTCAGTCTCTAGGTTTGACAGAAGGAGTTACACTGCTGAGGAACACCAAGCTACAAGAGGACAAGCACAACACAGGTAACAACTGACACAGGTTACCAACTAACACAGGTTACTAACAAACACAAGTTACTAACCAACACAGGTTACTAACCAACACAAGGTACCAACCAACACAAGTTACTAACCAAC